CTGAACATGGGTGACCGCTTCGATACTATTGATGCTCGAGTTGAGCATGTGGAGCACGACATTGAGTATCTGCGTCGTCATTTTGGTCCACATGGTGGATCATCTTCCTAGATGCCTTTCAATTTGTACTGTCCTTTTCTTTTAATTTTAGCTTGTTCCTTATGTAATGCACTTTTAATTCAATAAAATACTACAAATTTCATTTCTCATTTCATCTTATGATTTTCTCTTATTTCTATTACATAAAATCATATACTCTTCCCATACAAAACAATACATCACAATGTAATCAACAACAATGCGTGCTTACACAAATTCATATCAATTCACTTAATAAACTTCAAAATATGCACCACAATTACAATACAAAATTTCAAAAACCAACCAAAAACACACTGGTAATCGATTACAACAACCTTGTAATCGCTTACCAGAATGAATCTTGCACCAAATACAACCTGGTAATCGATTACAGAAGTGTTGTAATCGTTTACCAGTGTGTTTTTGGCATACTTATTTGAAGTCGTGCAGGGTGGTCACGATTTCAACACTCTGTAATTGATTACCATTACATTGTAATCGATTACGGTCATCAGAAGTTGTTTTTGGGGTGCACGACTTCAACACTGTACATATGAACAGTGTGAAGTCGTGCAGGAGGGGCACGACTTCTTCAATTGAAGTCGTTTGGGCCCCACGACTTCTCCATTTTCGTAATTTTGGTTGAATTTGTCCATTTTGGTAATATTATAGGCAAATATGCCTAGTTTGGTGCAAAAACCCAAATAATGAAAACAGTAGTATAGGGTGGAGAAAAGAAAGACAAGTGTACCTCAGAATGGGGCTCCAAAAAAAGTGCTTCTCGAATTCCACCAGGCACTAAAATGCAACTGTAGCCAGCTTCCAAGGAGGAAATGAAATTTTTCTTTGTGACTGCAGTAAATCCCATCCATGTCCATACGTGTCTCAAAAATGGTATATAGAAAACCTGTTCATAGAAGAAGTTAGCATCGATTCTTGTTAACTTTTTTCACTCGAGAGTCTTAAAAGTAGAAAGAAACCCTTACGGCGCTGCTAGCTAGAAATGTTGTTTTTGCAAGGGGCATGAGACCTGCGTTTTCAGCAAGTGCAACCATGCCAAGTGGAAAAGCTGAGTGTGGTTCATAACCAAACACTGCACACATCAGGCCATGCTGTTGTTAGCAATTACTATCAATCGTTTCATCACAAAAATAAGTTTTTCTAAGTCACTATACTTAATTAAATTACGTCAATCACAATTTATTCCAAAAACAGAACTAAGCCAAATCAATGTTTTGTCATCAATCTTAGGAATTTAGGTAACTAATGTAGGAAATGAATTGTTGTTGTAAGTTGAAGTGCACACATTATCATTGTATGCTTTTATGGATTTATAGAAAGCAAATTAAATGTCCATGAAGAATAGCGTATGGAGTGCATTAACTTTCTGACGTGACGTTTCAACGTCAGGTTAAAAATTTGGAAAGAAAAATGTTCAATCAGAATTGAAACTATGTCTCATACGCTGAAAATAAATATTGTAAAATATTCTAATATGCTAAATAAAGAACATTAACATATACTTTTAACATTAGTTTTCTTGTAATATAAACTTTGTCACGTCCTATGTAATGACTTTTTTCTCGTGCAAGTTGCACTGCTTTATTTATTGTTTTTATTTTGATATTTCAGTAATTAAAAAATACTTTATTAATAATGTAATAGTATTTATTTGCAAGTAACTAAGAAAATTGTATAATATATTACACTTATAATCCATTATTTGAAATATTCTTCTTAATTTAATACTAAAATAATATGTACTACATAAATTTAAAAGGTTATCTTAGCAAATGAGATAAATCATTATTGTTAATTTTCAATATAATGTCAAAGAAGCTGTTTTAATTTTAGTTATGATATAATAAATTATCAAGATATTATAGATAGGTTAGTTTTTTTTTTCTTTAATCACATAAGGAATTTAAACCGGTATTAACATCTCATCTAAGAAACTAAATTATTATCAAAAGAAAAAAAAAACAAAAGCACAATATATAAAATATAATTATTTGACAGGATGATATTACAATTATGATTGGATAATATTACAAGTATTTCCTGTACATTCATCTTTAAATTTTATATTATATAAGGCGACAAGTTGCTCCAAATTAATTTTAAAATAGTTAGATTTCTCTCTTAAGTTTCCTTCATAGAGAGTGACGCATCCCCAACCAAACATCTTTATGGGAAAAAAATTATTTATTACCTAACAAATAAAAAAGCATCATAGCACCTACCTAAAAGAAAGAAGAAAGAATATAATTTGTTTATGATCTAAAATAGAGTACATTGAATCAAATATTTAGTAGTGTTTTTGGTGTAAGTGTTAGAAGTCTGACATCTACTAGATATAAAATCAAATTATAATATATAAGTGAGGTGCAAACTTTATCTTACAAACTGATTTTGTGGGATTGAGTTAGACTTAAACCTACTTTCTAAGTCTCTGGAGTTGAGTTAGGCTTAAAAACTCACTTTTTAATATATAAATTAATTTCATTTATAAAAAAAATCGTAATCTTTTTTAAATGTTTATAAAAAAATTAGTTTAAAACGTGGATTCTTATTTAACTCAAACCGTAATGATGAAGGTACTTTTATGAAGTTGAGAAGGATTAAGTATTGTAAGTTAGAATGATAACAGAGTAGGTAAAACATAAAAAAATGTGAAAAATTTAGTGGATGGATAGATACAAACCATGAGCACGATTATGACGAAAGGCCTTTGGATCTTCTAGGTGAAGCTTTACGGGAAAATAGGAGCAAATGTGCTTGCAAATGTATCTGAAATTTAGCCAAAAGAAAAGTTCCCAGATTAGTTTTAAAGTAAAACTGAAAAAAGAAAGAGAGAAAGACAAAGATTATACTTTGACAATTTTCGACCAAACATGCTGTTTTTGTCGACAGGAATCACGACGAACAGGAAGAGGAAACCGAACACCCTATTATGAAAATTGTGAAAGGCATTATGTAAGATGATGAAGAAATTGAAGGCAAATAAGAAAATAGAAGACTAACAAGAGTGCTTTTGAAAGAGAAAGGAAGAAGGTGGCGAAGAGGATGAAGATGAAGTTGAAGTGAATGAATCCAAGGTACAGCGCCAGTGCTGGAACAGTCTTCAACATGTCGCATGATTCAGAGGACTTTTCGATTCCATTCCACACTTTCTCCATGCTTTGTTCTTTCCACTGTTGTAGTGGGTTGATATGAAATAAATGATGAGCTTTACACAACACTATAATATGAATATAAACAACCACACTCAAAAGGATAATGGGAAATGACTTTCGTGCCCCTTTTCCTCTCTCTCTTTCACCCACAATCTTTCGTGTATCGTTTTCTCATCTGACCTCAAAGTACAAATTGAGTAAAGTCTGAAACTTAGGTAATGATGTCGTCTTCTTTCTCCGTTTTAAACTAAATCAAACTGTTTATCAAGACAATTTATATATATCTACCTTCGACAGTTTTATAATCAATTATAAGATTTTGGATTTGAATTATAAGATGAGATGACATGACAGTATTGGATTTGAATTTTGGTTTTAGAACGAGCCAAATAAAAAAAATGAAATATTTAACCATCGTATACAATATGTCGTTAATCATATAGTATGTCGTTAATCATTTAGTATATAGTATGCCATTAATTATTTAGACGATGTAACATCCCAAATTATATAGAAGCATATAATGTAGTAAGTCCACATTTTAATATAAGAGAACAGTGAGAAGTAGATTGTAAGTAAAGTATTAAAGTTACAGTCATCACAAAATAAATCCATAAATCCTCATTTAAAACTTAAACATAATAGAGTATTTCAAAATGATAAGGAACCACTAAGAGTCCTAACTAGACTAAGTTGCAACATCGTCTCCTCCAAAGCCTGCTTCAGAGGCACCTTATCCACCTCTGCTCACATCCAAGTGGATGATCATTGCAAAAGAAAAACATACCCAAGCAAAACACAAACACAGAAGCAAGGGTGAGCTAGATATACAAAAATCATGCTATAACAGTCACAGACAACATGCAAGTAAGGACAAATATACTACACTACACAAACATGACTTGTTGCACTTTAAACTTGACTTGTCCGGACTTAGAATGTTTGCCGAGCTATGGCGGGTCATGCACTCGTGGTGGCCTCTACTGTTTTGCAAAGCCATTGCCAATGGGTTTCACCCTACCACACTCATGAGGTTAGTCCGTTATCACTCACCTTGGGCCATATTAGAAGCACCCAAGACTAGGACCTCCTGCTACTACTCACGACATGATTCAATCTTCTCTACTTGAGAATGATTTACCATTGTAGTTTCAGGACAACCCCCAAGACTGAGCTACCATGCAAATCATTTTAAACACTAAGGGCACCACCACGAATTTTCTCCTTGAAGATCATGGAATTACGTCTAATAATATAGGACACCACCATGTAACCTCCCTTTGAGATCGGAATTACGTCCAATAACATAAGGCACCACCATGTAACCTCCTTTGAGGTCCATGGAATTACGTCCATCAACCATACTTTTAAAACCACATACTTTCAATCACCAAACATGTTTCATACTCGCATACTTTTAATATAATCACATTACCACCATCATACTATGCATTCCAAGCATTCCACACACTTAATTCAACCAAAAAGAGAACAAAAGAGAAAACTGGACTCAAAGGATTCGCACAGCGCACCCTCACTCGCAAGGCGAATTAACTCGCTGAGGTGCTGTACCTCATGTCTCACGCACAACGCACCCACTTAATTTGCTATGCGAATTAACTTGCTGAGGCTACAGGCCTCAGGTCTCTCGCATAGTGCACCAAGGTCGCTATGCGAAAGCTCAGACAGAGAGCACACCCCCAAACCCTCTCGCTTTGCGCCCATCTCGCTCTTCGAATTAAAAGGGCAGTGGTTCCAGACCACCACCAGTCGCATAGCGACATGATTCGCTAGGTGAATCCACAAACAGAGAGAAACACCCTCTGGTAATTCGCACAGCGCAACTCGCACAGCTAATGACCCAGACAGTGAGCACTCTCTACAAGGACTCGCTATGCGAGACAGCTCGCATAACGACACTTCATCATATGCAGAACGCAAATTCTGCAGAATCATACACTCACACCAGCCCTTACCATTTCTAGGTCTCTTATCCAATTTCTAACACCCCTAATTCCTGTATTACACCTAATTAAACTTGTATAGATGATTATAAACATTCCTACTACCATTCTAAAGTGATTAAGTCTCAATTCCTACTCTAGAACACCAAAATCAACAACTTAGAGACCCAAATCCAATTTTATCAATTGTAACTCGTTTTAGACCATTTTGTGGTTCCTAACAAGTCAGAATTGACCTATCTGAGCTACCCAAACAACACAAGAACACACAAGACCTCCAGTGCCCAAAATCACTACCTCACTTCCTCTCAAATGACCTAAAATCCTAATAGTTCACTCAACACAGTGTATACTCCCTTACATTCCCTCTGAATCCTCATTTAGCAGAACCCATACCTTAAACATATCAAATTTCAAACATCACCTCAGCCCAACCAAATCTACAGTCACAAATTTCCAGCATATAGTTCAGTTCATACAGAAAATCTCAAAAATATAATTTCAACCCAAATAGCATGGTCACACAAAGATCATCACATTTACACAATTCATAACAATAATTTTTAAGAAAACCTAGCTCCTCTTACCTTAGAGTAACTTGACTGAACAACTCACAAGGACCCTTCAACCGAACCTTGAGTTGTGAGAACTCAACAAAACCCTACAGAACACCACATTGGTGACAGAACTTAGAGCTAGAATGGAGTGGAAAAATTGAAGAAGATGAAAGCACAAGACACATGCAACTAACAGAGATTTCATGTGCTAGTTCAAGGACAAAGAAGAGGTTGCATGGAGGGACTTACCAGCTTAGAACCCGAAATGAATCGGTTAGTTGTGAAGCCCTTTACGTCGCGGATGTTTGAGTGTCACCTAATCAGGAATCCACTGGCTCAGTAAAAAGAGATTGAAGAGAAAAGGCAGAGATGTGGTAGAGAGAAGGCAGAGAAAAAAAAAAGAAGAGCTAAATTTTTAGAGAGAGAGACAAAATGCTTAAGCTAATGGGCCAGGATGTTTGAAATGACATTTTAAAGTCTGGTCCTATTAACTTAAGGCACATTTTTGCTTCATTTTTAACTCTATTTTTCAGGTCTCACAGATGATATAATGAAAAAAAATCAAATTAAATATTATGAAACTAAAATCAACGTTTTTCAAAATAAAAACTATTTTGAATCAAGCTATAGAAAACAAAAGAGTATTTAAACTTTAATAAAATATTAATAAAAGTGAGAATCTTATAAGATTTATGGAAATCCTAAGGTAACAATGTCATAATAATGATAAAATATTCTTCGAAACAAATATTTTTCCCACCGTTAAATAAAATATTAACAAAAATTGAGAACTCGTAAAACTTTTGTATTAAAATAAAAATTATGAAAAGAAAATACACACATAGAATTTATATAGAATGCCTTTGGTCATTAAAAATATTTAAATATTTTTATAAAAGAAGTCAAAGTGACGATGGTGATCCGCATAGAGAATAGTTTTTAATTTGATTCTAAAACAGTGTAATTGCCCATAAAGTACAAAGTAAAGGTAATTTGTATTTAATGAAACAACAAACAAAAGGAGTTTGGTGACGAATTCCCTCATCCTGTCTATTATACAAAATATTTGAAACACATGTAGCATTCTTCAATTCTTTTTAAACAATTCAAAAAAATATTATTTAAACCATAATGACATTTTTATCCTCTACATTAAAATTTAAAATAATATTAATATTTTCTTAACATAAATTAAGATTTTCTTTATAAGTAACATTCAATTTAGAATAGTTTTTTTTCAATTAGGAATTATGTATTTTTAATTTTTGGAGTCAAAATTAAAATTTTGAAATTAAATTTCAATACCAATTACACGTCTTGTATGCTTTACACTTTTGTATATTTATTTAGTTTGTAATTTATCTTTATATTTAAATTCTTACTTAGTTTTGTGAGTATATTTTGTATTCAGTTTACCTTGATGTATTATTTATATATAGGCTCAAATACTCTTCAAATGTTTAATGTGGTTTTTATTTTAATAAATGATGTTCAATTTGATTTTTTTATAATGTCATTTAAAGTGTTAATGGAAGATGTAAAATTCGTGTCATGTGTCAATTTGTGAATTTTAATTTTTATATTTTTTATTAAATTTTTTAAAATATTTTTAAAATTAGAAGAAAATTTCTTCACTATTTTTAAAATTAGAAAAAAAATTCTTCATTTTTTCTTAGAAGAAAAATTCTTCATTAAAAAATTATTTTTAAAATTAGAAGGAAATTTTTTTAAAAAAAAATATAAGAAAAATTCTTTATTATTTTTAAAATTAAAAGAAAAATTCTTCATTTCTTTTAAATTAGAAGGAAACTTCTTTAATATTTTTAAAATTTTAAGAAAAACTCTTCATTATTTCTAAAATTAGAAGGAAAATTCTAATTTATTTATGAAATGTGAAGAAAAATTATAATTTATTTTTAAAATTAGAAGGAAATGTCTATATTATTTTTAAAATTAGAAAAGAAAATTCATCATTAGTTTTATAGCAATTCTATTATCTTTTATATGTAGAAAAATCAAATATAAATATAATAATTATATTCTAATATTATAGATAGAGTTGATTTAAAAATAATTAAAGAAAAATTTAATAAAAATATGAATTTTTATAAAAATTAAATTTAGTCTCAATTTAGAAAAAACAAAATTGGACTGAATTAAAAAAAAATTAACAAAAAATATCACTAATAATAATTAACATTAAAAATATTAAGTTTAAGAACACAATATATAAATTAAAATTAAATTTTATTTTTAATTGTGTTTAATAGAAAATATCACTAATAATAATTTATACAAAAAATAATAAAATTTAAAATAAAGGAAATTTTAATTTTGCATTTAAATAATTAAGTAATTTAAAAAACTAATATTGGAGAAATAAAGTTTAATATATTGAAAAGTGTTTTAATTTATTTATATAACATAGTGAGT